TTAAATATATTAAATGTATATATAGAATTAATAATTTTTCTCTTCTTCTAGATGGAAATGACATCATAACCAAAATAACATTTCACTAAAAATCCAATTATTTAATGCGCCGCAAAGATGTGTAACAGTCCAAAAAGCGACACTCCATCATGAACAAAACCTGAGAAAAGTTTGGCTGCAGCATCCTTCGCCAATGTGATTTTTAGAGATGAGGATGCATTTGTACTTTCAAAAATCCAATTTTATTCCTGTTTTATTTTATATCCGATTTCAAACTGACCTGGCTCTTTCCATATCCTCAACATCACCTTAAACATCATTATCCATCAAATGCCCTGCCAGAGCTTTCTCTAGTGTGCAAGAGTTCTATGAGATCTCATGACGCTGCAGAAGTGGAAACAAAGCAACCAGGAAAATAACCAGTCTATGGACGGGACAAGACAAAAACACAGATGAACCAGGAAGAGTTCATCTTTATCTAGTCTCATTATTGCACCACGTCTGGTTAGGACACAGTGTAAAGTGACCCTTGAAAATGTTTGAGGAATTTGTCCTCCCTGGTTTGGGTTCATTTCCAGCTAGACAGTGTTTCCTTAAGGACAGGCTCTTTAATCTGCTCTGGATATATGCAAAGGTGAAAGTGTCCTGAAAGCCATATCCTCTGATTTGCATGAAAATGCGACTTACAGACGCTTACGTTAAGTGGATTTTTTTTTTGGAGAGTAAAATCCTCTCAGCAACAATTCACAAGCATAGTTCTTATGCTTTTTTGCTATATCTTCAATAACATCCAGGATAAAATCAAAATCAAAAATTATTTTACATCCCAGCATGCTTTTTAAAAAATACAGAGAAGCTGAATATAACAAAATAAACATTATCAGTAATGAAGACAATATCCAAAGATTCTCAAGAAAATCCCCAGCAACATAAAGCAGACTGGACTGATTCCAGTAACAGATAATCTTCACACTGTGTGTTTTATGATGCCAGTTTCTAGGCTGCCAAAACATACATATTCAGCATATATAGCATCATGTGCAAAGAGATGCATCGGCCATTCTGAATCTTGATTTTGGCACCTTCTGAGGTGTTGCAGCCAAAACCTATGCTAACAAAAGCACCAAGAGAAAAACTACCTGCATTCTATCCATCTATCCATCTATCTATCTATCTATCTACCTACCTACCTACCTGGGCTCTGAACCGGTTCAAGGAACGAAAACGAAAACCGGAAACGAAAGTTATTTTGACAGGAACAGAACCAGAAACAGAAACTAAATCAAATGTTATAGTTCCGAACAGAATCGAAAATTTGAAATGGCCATTAACCGGGTAATAATGTTATTTTATCGTTCCATTTAATATTTGAAATTTGCTGTCAACCAATCATGAATTCCAGTAGTACGGTCTATGCAAATGTAACACTGACGCCAACGAGTGAAATGCCCGCTCAGCTGTGAACTCATCATAGGTAAGTCGCAATGGCAATGCACCGGCGTTAAAGAGTTTATCCGAGGATAGTGTAAGAAGGATTCAACAGATCACACGCAACAGCAGCGCTTCTGTGAACGGAGAAAACAGAATAAAACTATAGGCTTACATAAAAAGGAATATAGGCATATACACGAAATATATTTAACTTAAATCATTGACAGATTAACAAAACGAAAGAAAAAATGTGCTGAGTTACGGTTCATTGTGATGCGTTCCAAAGTTCTCGGAAA